CCCCGGGACGTAACCGCGAGCGGCTTCCGGGACCACCCCCGAGCCCCCCCAAACCACCCCCAAACCACCCCTCGAGCTCTTCTCGTTTCCTACCGAACCAAGTCCAGAAGGGATGCTTCAATCTGCATACGTTCATCGTTAGGAACAAATCCTCGCACTTGGAAGTTCACCTTCACCATTAAAAAATCCTACTCTAAGGGGTACTACTTTGTAAAGTATGATCGGATGAATTACGTTTCAAAGTGCGCGTTTCATTTAAAAAACCGAGAAAAATCCTTAAGGCCGTAAAACCTTGTCCATAATCTCATGTAGAAAATTAGAGAATTTCGGGGATTAATTTTGAGGAGTCGGTGCTTTAACGAGGAGAGAAAATAAATCTACAGGGTGAACCACCCCGGCCGATGGGGTAAAGTGCAAACTTGGGGCTGTTCGGGTGTCGGTGCACCNTAGAGAATTTCGGGGATTAATTTTGAGGAGTCGGTGCTTTAACGAGGAGAGAAAATAAATCTACAGGGTGAACCACCCCGGCCGATGGGGTAAAGTGCAAACTTGGGGCTGTTCGGGTGTCGGTGCACCAACAGCCCCTCTCGGATTCCCTCCGCGATTTCTAGGGGCGAGTTTCCAAGAGGGATGCGTTTCACGTCGAGGTGTCATGAAAGGTTAAGCGCGGCAGAACGAGTTCGCCTTAAGTTGGACTTCGATTTCTCGCCGGGCAGAGAGAAAGGGCCGGCAAGGGACGAGGGTGGTCGGGGGTAGTTTAACGATCTTACTAACTCGGATGGGCTCTTCCATTATTAGTTCGTCCTCGGGCGAGAGTTTGCAAGGAGGAGGCCAGAGCGAAAAGAGATACACCCTGTACCCCGAAATCGAATCTCGAAGTGAAAAACGACATTTAACGTCTCGAGAAATTAATAACGACGAGGAATTCTTAAGTAATCCCTAGGAAATTGTCGGTAATGAAATTTTCAAGAATCTCATGTGCGCCACTTAAAAAATGCTAAGAGACATCGTGTTAAGGTGATGTGAAAGTGGCGTCAAAGAGGTATTTATGAAACTTTTCTCCGAACTGTCTGTAGCAAATCGTCTCAAACTTGACAATGTGAATATGGAGGCTACAAGGAAGGTCCCGAGACCCATGAAATTTCAATTTTATAATAATTGCTTTATACCTATATTTAGCAATTTTAATAAGAAATGAAATTTCCCGAGTTCCAGGACCTACCTTAGGGTCTCCTTATTCACGTGGTGGGATCTGAAAGAAATAGGTACACCCATTTCAATGTTATAATAATTGCTTTATACCTATATTTAGCAATTTTAATAAGAAATGAAATTTCCCGAGTTCCAGGACCTACCTTAGGGTCTCCTTATTCACGTGGTGGGATCTGAAAGAAATAGGTACACCCATTTCAATGTTATAATAATTGCTTTATACCTATATTTAGCAATTTTAATAAGAAATGAAATTTCCCGAGTTCCAGGACCTACCTTAGGGTCTCCTTATTCACGTGGTTGGATCTGAAAAAAATAGGTACACCCATTTCAATGTTATAATAATTGTTTTATACCTATATTCAGCAATTTGAATAAGAAATGAATTTTCCCGAGTTCCAGGACGTACCTTAGGGTCTCCTTATTCACGTGGTGGGATCTGAAACAAATAGGTACACCCATTTCAATTTAATAATAATTGCTTTATACCTATATTTAGCAATTTTAATAAGAAATGAAATTTCCAGAGTACCAGGACCTACCTTAGGGTCTCCTTATTCACGTGGTGGGATCTGAAACAAAAAGGAGAAAAGTTCCATGAACGATTGACCCCTAAGACGCCACTTCCGCATCCCCTTAAAGGTACCTCCAGAAATGATTGGCTCCGATCTAAGGATTTTCCAGATCCACCCTGGAGAAGAAAAACTGGCCAGATTTGGATTTCCCTCCCTCCTCGTCCCGGTGTATCCATTTCCGAGGGAATCCCTCGGATCGTCGCATCGAGGTCGGGAGTTTCCCTCCTTTTTCAGAAATCTCCCAGCGGCTGGGAGGTGGGAGGAGGGCGGCGTTTAACTCGGCTTAAAACTGTCAAACTTCCGGAGGAAATTAACGGATGCTTCAGCTGCGGCGCCGCGCCAGCGGGGCAACTCCCTTAATTTATACGCACTCGTGTGGGTGGGATCGGCGAGGCCCGGAAAGGAGGCCGGAAGTGCATGTGCCTTTAACGACGTGCCGTCAACCACTCGCAGCTGCGAGTGCACTTCCCAAGAGGTGATACTTTCCCGGGACAGGAAAACCGAGGGAATTTCCTCCGGGGTCCTTGTCCCAGGGTGCAGGGGCAGTCCTCGCAGTCCTTGCACCTGCTGCACGCGCCAACCAAATTTTGGAAGTGCCGAACAACTTGAAAAGGTAAACAAAAAAAAAAAGCTCAAAGTTTTAAATAACAAGGGCCTAAAGGTGCACTTTTTTTGTTAATTCTCGAGTCCCCTGTCTTCAGCGATGCAAATTCTGAGACCCTCGACGCGTTTCTGCCCCAGTTTTCTCTTTTTTTTTTTCCTCGTTTCCTTTCAATTTCAGGAAAATCCTACCACGTCGATTAACCCATGCACAAGGAGGGCCGTTCGCTCAATTTGATCTCCATTTTCGGCGAGGAAAAGACGACAAAGCGAACCCACCGGGGTCAAACGCGAGGCGTTAATAATTAATTTCACGAGGGAATAAATTCCGGCTGTTTGGCCGAATCGGTTTTCCGCCTTTGCGGGTCAGGAGGAGCGCCGGGAAATCCCGGGAAAAGAGACCAGAGGTCCATCAGAGGTGGGAAAGTCTTTTCGATCGCTAGGACCTCAATTTCGAGCCGCTCCGTTAATTAATACATAACCCGAAGAGGCTCCGGTATGCATCAGTCGATGGATTCAATAATTCCGCATCCGGCACGCCAATCGATCGAGCAGTTTTTTCCTTTAGCGAGTCCACATTGTCCCGATAAAAAGTCCCTCCCGTGCAGAAAGTACATCAGCTTTATCGCGGCCATTCCGCGTAAACTGGAACTCCGTTTGTTTTCCCTTTTTCCTTTTGAAATTTCCGCCCGCGAGTGCGTTGGATTTTTATTAAACAATATCCCTCCCATGAATAATGTCCGCCCCTTATTAAGCCGATAGGGCCTGTTGTCGATGGGAGCCAAACGACGCCCCAAATAGCCGCCATATTGGAACTTTTAAAAAAGAACTTTTAAACTCTAAAAAGGGAAGTTTTAAACTCTAAAAAAGAGAGCTGGATTTTTGGATGCAGTTCGCGACTGTTCTCCCTATTTTACCGGGTCGTGATAAACGGACCAATTCGGGGAAGTCCAGGGGAAAAAATTCAAAAAATGGTTTGGAGTCTTGGAATTCATTTTTATTTCAATGTTACAGGTGAAGAGAGCCTTGGGTTTCTTGTTCTGCGGGATGCCGATTCATTGGGACGAGAGAACCACGAAGAGAGGATGAGGCGAAGACGGAGGGTCGGGTCCTGGTATAAATTTCGGGGGCGAAGGGCTGCTCCTTTAAGGACGACTTTAACGCCGCGTTATCCCGATAAGCCCCGATACGGACACTCGGATAACGGTTATTGCGAATATATGCGGTAAAACGCGTCGTTGACTCGGGGAATATCGAAGAGCGTTAACCCCTCGTATAATTCCTCGTGTACCGCGGCCGCTACGTTAATGGGCCACTCGTAAAGTGTCCCGGTTAATTCCTGGCAGTAAAGTCCCTTTCGTGGTTTTCCCCGGCCCTGGTTAACTGGATCCCGGTCGGTGGAAACGCGAGGAACGCCGAAACCGGGGAGCGACCCTCTCGGATTATCGAAATCTTCCCCTATGTGCCCCGCGATGCATTATCGCGGATATATCGACCACGCGGAAATATGCAGATTGCGTTAACGAGTCCGCCCTATAGGCAGCCTCGTTATAAATCAACGATTAATTGCGCGTGTGTAATATTCAATACCGCGAAGCGCTCCTCTTTGGTCCTTTAACGGTGGCGCCGCCTACGGGGAGATCCGTAGAAGTATCCTAGGGAATTCTGCCGGGGATTCCCGGGAGCGCCTGAAAACCCGAGCTGGGGGATTCCACCGACTGGTAAATAGAGACGGAGGAGGTCATTGTTTTGGGATGATTTCGGAGGAAGCGTTTTATCGTACCGTGTTGACGCATGGTTCTGCAGAGAGGAAGGAAAATAATGCGCAGTTTCCCACTCGGTTAATAGTGGATGCGCCTCCTTCGCAGGAACCCTCGGGTAATGTCTGCTTCTTTTCTGGAGACTCCGGGTGCACCGGGGTGCACCTGCAAGCTTAATTCCGTATTTATGGGATTATCCTACTCAGCTTCCCGGACCCTCTCCTTCTCGAAATGCAAGTCTCGAGAAGCGGCTCGAGCGATATGCAAATTTTATTGGTAACCCTTAAACTTTACATCCCGACCTAGATGTCCCTACCTTCCGATGGCTTTACTGGAAGTACTCCTCGAGTACTTGTACACACACCCTTGGAAGGGGCTCGTTGTATGGAACGTTGCCGCGGGTATGAAATACTAAGCACCTCGTCGCCTCCACGTTGTAACTTTCTACAACGTGACGAGGTGGCAGATAACCTGAAACGAACGGCATATGGCTCGAAAAAAATACCAGCAAAATCTTGTCCGCTTTCCTTTCGGCTATTCTAAATTTCTACTTATTTCTACTATACTTATACTTCGTATGAAACGAAGTTTTTCGAAAAAGGAATCGCCGCTTACTTTGAAATTTCTATTTATAAATATAATCGATAAGCCGAGACGTTTATTAGAATTTTAAGCTTTATCGAATCCTTTGGGGTTTAATGAATTAAAAATTCGGGAATGCGACGACTAAGGAAATGATCAAACTGCTTCTACTTTACCGACTAAGGTGCTTCGTCCTTTGGCGGGTCCAGATCTACTTTTCACTCGGCTTCCGAGATGCGTCACCAGAGGGGTGACGTGTAGCCGTTAATTGTGGAACTAGAATCGCCATTAGAGTGCGACATCGTCCGATTATTCTTTCTCTCGGGTGTCGACTGCGAACACGTTGAAGAGGTGAGTGGATTAAAATATTGTTTCCGATATTTCCTATTTGAAATCGGCCGCAAATCGTCTCGTTCTTGAATTTACCTTCGCCAACACTTTCGGCGTAATGGAGAATCTAACACGACGATCGGCGAACAAAATGCGATCCGAAAACAACGGAACGCGTTTCGTTTCCAGCACAATCTTGCACATGGACGCCTTTGTCGAAAATTCCTGGTTTTTGCAGAACTTCAATTTCACTATTTAATCGTCGAACATAATTTTCCTCCTGAGAAGGCAAAGACGCTCCCAGAAAATTTCAGAAACGACCGTCCGATTTCCTTGGTTATATGTCATAAGTGGATTGTCAAACGAGGGTATCATTTGTAGCTTTTCACATCGAGTCATTAGGCACTAGATTTAAGAAATATACAATAATTCTTAGGAGTAAATAAATATTTCTTTCCATTTCTTGAAGCGCAGGTAAGCCATCATGCAGATCTTCGTGAAGACCCTAACAGGCAAGACCATCACCCTCGAGGTGGAGGCGTCCGATACCATCGAGAACGTCAAAGCTAAGATCCAGGACAAGGAGGGCATTCCTCCGGATCAGCAGCGTCTCATCTTCGCTGGAAAGCAGTTGGAAGATGGCAGGACGCTTTCTGACTATAACATCCAGAAAGGTAAAGCATCGATACCTTTTATTTACGTCGACTTAAGTCATTTTAATGAAGTATTTTCTGTAGCGGGTTACAGATAAAAATAATTCTGGTATTCTCATTATTTTAATGCATTTCTCATTTAATTCCTAGAGTCCACTTTGCACTTGGTGCTCCGACTTCGAGGTGGTGTCATCGAACCGACCCTTCGTATCCTCGCACAGAAGTACAATTGCGATAAAATGATCTGTAGGAAATGCTACGCCCGTCTGCACCCGCGTGCAACCAACTGTCGCAAGAAGAAATGCGGACATACCAACAACATCCGCCCGAAAAAGAAGCTGAAGTAGACCTTGTACTCCAACATATGGACAAAGCCACGGAAAAAAGAACGATGTATTTACTTCCAGCAAATTTACGTGCGCTTGTATTCGCCTCTAACATTTGATCCCAATAAAATCTAAGCAACCAGGTAAATTCTCTGCTCCATTCTGGTTTAATTGTAATAAATAATACGATGTGTCTGTACATGTAATTACAAAAATTGTATACATAGAACATGCAATGACAGAAGTACTTCTTCAAAGTTACATTTCTCGTAGTTGATTATTGTACTCTACCATTGTTTAGAAAAATTAAAAATTAGGAATTGAGAATCATTTACAACCTTGAAACGGTGCCTAAAAGTAATTGTTGCTGGTGGGCATATTGTTCATACATAATCATATCCTTGGGATATGGCACAGAACCTCCAAACTGGAAGGAAAAGATACAAAGTATATAAATGGTACTGAGAATAATTTAAAAAATTGATCCTATGAGTACCTGGCCTTTCTTAACATATTGCTCGTAGATACTCGTACTGGATTCTTTTACAACCGGAAGATTAACTTTGGGTGGTATGCTGTCAGGAAATGATGCTTGTTGCACTAATTTTGAACGAATTTTTGAGTGATCTGTCGGATGAATGGCATTGCGTCCTATTACCACAAACCTGCATAAAAAATGTCATTGTACAAAATCAGCATCTGTAAATTCTTTAAAAACAATATCTGAACTACCTCTTATAAAGTATCATGTCAGGTCTTTTTGGGTACTCTGGTTGCACGCCGTAGACTTCTTTCATCGAAGGAAATAACATTTCGAAAGAAGTCAAATCATTGCTATTTTTTAAAGTAATTAATTGAGAATCGGTTAACTGGTGACCCTCTTCATCGTCAGTACTTGAATCAACGCTAGAACTGTATAAAATAAATGTTTAGTCAGATAGAATAATTCTTTATACAAAAAAAAAAGAAATGGTACCTTGCACTCGAGGCAGTACTTCCAGTGCTACTCTGGCCTGTCATTGACGGGTTTTTCATATTCACATGCTTGCTTCCAGCCTCTTCTCTTCTTCTACCAGGTCTCACTCTCACAGCAAAAGGACTGTAGTTCGTTGTAAAATGAGGCATGAAATCTCTTACCGAATGACTGATTTGATAAGCGTACACTTCTGACATTAATGAAAATTCGTACGGTCTAAGAGCATGGGAAAATTTTCAATTAATGATAAATGTATATCTTGAATTTTTCATGGAGTGTGCATGTGACTGAAAAATAATTAAAGTACTCCATACCGATGATAGTCATAATATATATCGATCATGTCATGTGCATGTTGTACTTGGATCATTTCAGAACAAGTCTTGGTGACCTCGTAGAGTGCGTAAGGAAGACACTTTAAGACGCTACTGTCCCACCACTGTGTCAATAATTTATTTGTACGAGTGTATCGACAAGCAGGCTTATGATGAAGATAGTAATCCGTTATGAGTTCCCATATCGGAGGTTTGCCTTCCTCCGGAACAAATAATCCTGAAACAGAAATTGTCATCGAATTATTTTTCAAAATAAGGAATGTAAAAAATTAATTTCCACTTATTACCTAGAAACAAATTAATTGTGTGTTGCTTTTCCTGATCGCTGAAAGTGTTACTATAGTATCTGCTTAGAGTCTGCATGATGTCGTTGCCTTGACTAGTCCATGGAGCAGTTTTTCTGAAATTCAAATATAAATAGCAATAATTCATAAATAGAAGGAAGAATTTTTCTCTAAAATTTCTCATAGATTATTGAAATGATTAATTTATATTTACTTCAAGAATGGAAGTGTACATAATTGCACTTAGTTCACCTGTAAGTCTTGATTCGGTGAACCAGCTGTGACCCTCCGTACTGTAAAGCTAAAGTATCTCCATGATCTTCGTACAGTTCTTCCAACATTCTTACACAGTCGGAATCAAACTCCAATTTTGGCGACTCCAAAACACCCAGTGCACACAATTGAAATCCTAGAGCGCATTTACCAACTGCAAACTGGGCTGTATTAGTTCGATCCAAACAGTCTACGCAGTTGGTGCGAATGATTCCAGTTTGCAGCATACCCCTCGTTACAAAATGATCTTTCATTTTCTCCCTAACGGATGTAGAATCATCCAACTTTTCACTAACCGGTGTGTCTTTGGAGGTCACGTTGCAATTTAAATTTATGTTCGGACTTTTGTTCAAGAAGGAACTCATGTTTCTCGAGTCACAAGTATTTGGAAACAGTGCTGGGTTTGAGTCAGTCTTCGGAGGCTTCTTGCTGTTCGGTGCAGATGCAAATAGGTTTCGCTGGCTATAATACGGATTCTGCGACTGAAATATTCCAGTCTTTAACACTGCATTGTGAGCAATGTTCGCCAAACGACCCATCACGTTTGCCTCTTTTCTAAAATATTTCACAAGAAAAAAAATCCGTCTAATATCCATCGAAGAGCTCTCATTATTTATTCGCAAACTCTTACCCTTTGTTTTTTCGCGCCATGTCAAAACTGATGTAGTGCATTTGGTGTTCCGGAGGTAAAAATTGATTAAGGTATCTGACCGCTGTACTTAGTTCCTCACTCAAAGTGCTCTCGTGTTTCTTCTTCTCTCGTTTCTTCACCAGATTGAGTATGATGATCGGTGAGCCATACCTTTTCAAAAGCTGGTTAAAGTGTGCGCCTAAAATTGATGTGCAACATTAATTTGAAAATCAAGCACCTAATTTGAGAATAATATAAAAATGGCTGTTTAACAACCTGCAGTCTCTGCGTAGGGATCAGCTAAGTCACAAGTGATCGTAGGCTTCGGAACCATTTTACTGACATCTTGGCTCCAGTGACCAGGAACCGATCCCCTCATTTGCACGAAAGAACTAAACCGACCATGTTGGAAAGAACTCACTCCTGAATCATGAACAATTTGTTCGGTCTCCACTTCGTTAGCAACATCTCCCTGTTTATGAGATAATTCTTCGTAACTCTAAGTTATAAGTATGTATAAAAAAATCTGCACTCACATCGAAGTTAGCTCCTCGCTTCAAGAATCTCGTGCCTGCATACTTATTACTTCTTCTGGCTATTAGAGTGATGTACATTGACCTTCCGAAGATACTGACATTGGATTGTCCGATGAAGCCATGAGTGACATGCAAAACCCAGTCCCGATGCAAGGATTTCTCCACCGGAGCCAACAGGTGAGAATTCCAAACAAAGCGATAGTGTGGATTGCTCCGAACACCATAATCTACGCATCTGTCACCATACCTAAAAGATTGTTCACTTCTTAATATCCGTTTTCTAAAAACGTTCAATTTAATATGCATGCAAAACTTATTTCACGTACCCATTAGTTTGCCAACTTTTTTTTAATTGCCACATATCGAAGAAGTCTTCGCCGCTGTCAAACTCTTCGGTCTCTTTTTGGATCTCAGTTGCATCGACAGAAAAGTCAGACTTAATGTGCTTCGGTGGAGCCATGTTAATCTGCAACGTGTGAGTAATGTCATAGGAATAGCTAAAGTAAAAATTGCTGCTCAGGTCGATACTCTGGAACATCTTAACGTATCTCTGCTCATCGGGATGGAAAAGGCGAACCGAGTCGTTCGGAATGTAGATCATACAAGTATCTTCTATCTTGTAAATTGTATGATGACCAATGACCGCGATTCTGCGCCGCTTGGTGACCAAAATTATGTAGTAGCCCTCGAGAAACCTGACAAAACCTACAAGTGATGTTAATTATTGTCAATTTTAATGGAATCCAAATAGTAGAGAGAAAAGCAGAGACCAAGAGAGGAGTTAATGTCTTCAGAAATTGTTTAATAGCCAGTAAATTTGTGCAAAGGAATTTTCATGCAAGATCACACAGACTAGACACAGCTTCGTGCACAGGTTCGGCATTCGTTCATGCTAGTACCTGTCAAGATACGCACCGTTGCTCGAGAAGTAACAGATCAGAAACGTCTTGATTGAGATATGAAAAGAAAATAATTATGTGCCCTTACCGACAATACCAAAGGCTGGTACTAGCCTTGGAAATGAGTCTCGTTGCCACATACTCTTCCATGAGAATTTAGTCTGAGTCGGCTTATGCTGAGGTTTCTGCTCCTTTTCCAGTTCTGCCTCTTTATCAGCATTCTCGTCCAATGATGGATCATTGTTAGCACTGCCTTTGTTAGCATGCAAAGAATAATAAACTAGGTCCTGCTCTCGTGTCAAACGTAAATGGTGCAAACTGCTAAGCAATGTGGAACTACAAGGTGTATTGAACTTAAGGTGAGGAAGCAAAATCACAGTTTTAGTAGTGCTACAAGCTGTGATAAAAATAATTGAACTTCGATCCATAATGTGGTAACTGGTATTTCATGGGAGAGCGATAAACCCAAATTTATGATGATTCTACACATCTTTTTTTATGCAACGTAGAAGCTGTGTCCAAATTTCCAGTACTGATACTTTGAATATATTTTACGGTAATTGTGCTAATAGGAAAAGACCGAATCGTTCTAACTTTGTAAGCATTGCATGCAGGTGTTGCACCCAGTCAGATTATTTGTTGGCTCACTAGGATATTGATTTTGTTAGAAATAATTACCAACTATACCAAACGCCGAAACAACTCGGGCTACTCCGCCTTGGTTACGCTTCTGACCTCGATTTCCCATATCTATCATGTTCACGAGATCACGTATTTCATCTTGAGTGTACTCCATCTTATCGTCTATGACATTCAATTCCCTTGATTCCATCCGATCGATCTTTAATACTCGAAACCTCGTCAAGGTGTTGTTTGAACCCATTAAATAGAAACGCTGCAAATACAATATTGTCTTATTTAACATTAATTAATGCAATTAATATCAAAGCATCAGGGTCGTGAAACAACAAAAATGAGAGACATGAGAATATAGTCCTTGATAATAAATTCTTATACTATGTATACAAAAATTGATATTAATCCAACAACTAAACTTACTGATCTTGTTTCATAAAGAGCTATTTTCTGAACTGATGAAATTATTGGGTGAAACACCTTGTCTTGTACTTTCTGTTCATCCATTATTGCTATTCGTCAGGTTAAATCTTAGGACGGCAATGTCAATTGTTATCGGACGTTCCCCGAATACCTAACCTTAAACTGTTACTGCTAGACAATATTTTCTACATGGTTTTACGTCAAGATAAACTCAACACAAAGCACGGCTGCATTTAATTTAGCACATTAAGAAAATTCCGAATATCGTTTGTATCTTTTAGTTCCATTTAACCTCAAATATGCAGGCCTGAGCCAATGAATAAAATGACTTGTCAGCTGATTGAGAAGTATGACAGTATCTTCAAGCTGGTCAGTAAAAAACTTAATAAATAATGAATGAGGGAAAAAATGATTGTGTGCAAAATATTATAGACAAATTTATTATCAATTTCTTAACATTCGTAGAACTTATTGACAGGTTTATCAATTGTTTCTCTTTATCAAAATTAAGACACTACTAAAAGTTCCAGATAGGATTTTGAAATTTTCCATGCACAAAAAATTGGTTTCAGGTCTTATAAATAACATACTTTATTTCTCAATATTCCATCGACATAGTTACAGATTATTTCATCGATTCTGATTTCTTTGCCAATTTATATGAGACTACACAAGCAGCTATTCCACATAGCTTTGATTTTATGTCTGCCGGAAAAGTGCATTCAGTGTCCTGACGGAGAAGCAAAGTCCAATACCAGTAAGAACGAGATTAATTCCGAAGAATACTTTGTCCCTAGTTCCTCCCAGAAGGTAAACTGGTTTTGTCCAATCCTGGAAAGTCAAATGTTACCGTTACATTCGTCACTTTTGTCAAATATATTCTCAAACTATAATAGTTTTACGGATCTCAACTCTATTACCTGGAACTTCTTAAAATTTGCAGCCATTTTGGGATCAATCTTTGACGAGTATTCTGCTACTTGTTGAGACGTAATCGTCTTGACAGGTTTCGTACGAATTGAATCAAACATGATTACAGGAGGTTCGACCTTGTCCGCACGAATAGGTGACTGAAATATACAATATGAAATAATGTAGAAATGTCTGAAATGTACTAATCTTTTAACTTCACAAGAAAAGTTAATTTATTCCAAGGTAGAAAGTTAACAAAAGTCTCCCAGTCTCTTCTTAAAAATCCTATATTCAGATTGTACTTTTATCGAGTATTTGAAAGCCCCTTCTCGAAATGAACAATTAAGTACCAAACAGAGGTATATTTTCCACTGAATAAGAATTATTATTAATAAAGGCCTCGAATACCGTGCCACTACAATCGGTATAAAACAGGTCAGGCATTTTCGAAATTATCGATTGTTTCGAACGTTTTTTTTCTTCTATCTACGTAAATTAGATCTCTCGAAAACATTAACATTTCGTGGGAAACAGAATAGCAATTTTTAGAGAGAACTCGAAATGGACCAACGTGATCCGTCCGGATAATCTGCCTTAAATAACGCGACTTGGATACCATTAGCACATTTTATTTATTTTAATATAGACCTCATCTTAGACAACTTTTCGGTACAGTGAAATATAATTTACTCACTATGGGATAAAGTGGTTGCAATTTCGTAGATTCTTTTAGCCGACCTGTGAGCGAGTTGAACTCATTAAATGGCATCTTTGCTGGTTGTGTAATCAATGAATTCGGCAATGTTGCCACCGTCGCGATTTATAAGGTGGTAGAAACAACGATGAGTTTCTATGGTAGAAACAGAGAGAAGATGAGAGTGGCCACGGCTAAGGGAACACCAGCTATCAAATTCTTGCGCCACGAGCTCCGTCATTTCTGTGGATGTTTTGGTACCCGATGCATCGTTTCGCGTGTTTCGATGTTCAGCCCCGAGAGGGCAGCACCGCGCAATAGTCATGAAGTAGGGGCCGTGGATACTCTCATCTTCTCTCTTGTTCTTTCTGTTCTACTGTACTATCATCAACTATCATCCACTATCATCTGATCTGTCATTTATCTAAGTTACAATTAATTTGGAAATTGATAAACAATTGAACGATTAAAATGGTAAGTTTTTTTTAAATCTACAGTTCAAAGCTTATGGTAGTGGTGATTAAGGTTATTTTCAGGAAATCTTATTGATTCTTGAATGCGTCGGGTTAATTAATGTATCATTGCAGCCGAAGGGTAAAACGAAAAAGTTTATCGACAAGCGGAACTCCGTGACATTTCACTTGGTGCACAGATCGCAACATGATCCTCTGGCGGCGGATGAAACGGCACCACAGAGAGTTCTTGTGCCAATCGATAGTCAAAAAAGTGTTAAGCAAGAGAAAAAAGCCGAAGACTCGACGAAGCGTATAGAAGAACAGAGAAAGTATGGAATTTTCTTTGACGATGATTACGACTATTTACAGCATTTGAAAGAAGTTAATAACTTATCGACGCAATGGGAACAAGTCGAGAGTGGAAATGAAGATAAGAATACGAAGAAGGAAAGTATCAAGATAAATCTACCATCTTCTGTTTTTGCATCCAATGTCGAGGAAGAAGTTGGTCTGCTCAATAGAGCAGCTCCGGTTTCAGGACCTCGATTGGATTGGGATCCCGATATCGTAGCTGCGTTGGACGATGATTTTGATTACGATGATCCGGATAATCAGTTGGAGGATGACTTTATGGCAATAGCAAATGCCTCCGGTGTTAACGATGATGAGGAAGATGGTAATAGTAATAATATAACAAATTATTCATAGAATTGAAACGGATTATAAATTATTGTATTTTCTAAATAGTTTCATATCTTTAAATATAAATTAGGCGACTTCAGTGACGAAGAAGATTCAGACGTGTCTTCTGAGGGACATTTGGATCTCTTGGATGAAGAAAGAGATGAGCTACACAGCCTTCATGGTAGCCAATTCTCATTTCAGGATGAAGAAACTAAATCTCGTTTTACTGAGTATTCTATGTCGAGCAGTGTAATGAGAAGAAACGAGCAATTGACTTTACTAGATGACAAATTTGAGAAGGCGAGTACTTCACATAATAAATTCCTTCTGTTACTAATAGAATTATTTATTGTAAACGTTTGTTATAGATGTACGCTGCTTATGATGAAACCGAAATCGGTGCTTTGGACTGTGACGAAATTGAAGGATACGTATCACCAGATTCAGCGCTCGTTATGCAGTGTGCAGAAGAGTTTGAAAAAAAACAAAAAGAAGATGTATGTATTTATTATTGCAATAAGTGTGAAACATCATTGAACTCTATCGATATTTTACTTTTTAGGTGGAGAATGTGTCAAAATTAATGCAAGAGCGCATGAAAATTTTAGAACAGCAGCCTGACAGTTCTGACGAAGAAGACCTGGAAGACCTTGTCGTGGATGCGCGAGAAAAAGATAAATGGGATTGTCAAAGTATTCTGTCAACATACAGTAATATTTATAATCACCCAAAATTAATTTCAGAGACCAAGGTAGTTTCAATAATTTCTTTCCGTACATATATAAATATATCATTAGCGTGATATGACCGGAGGATGAGGTAACATTTTTAATTTATGTTTATTTGACCATGCAGCCCTCTGGAAAAATTAAAATTGATCCCAAAACGGGTATTCCGAAAAATGTTTTGACCGGAGCTCCTGGCAAATTGACTGCCAAGGCTTTGGCGCAGCTAGATTTAGAAAATCAGTCAGAATGTTCAAAAGGACCTGGATCGATAGCAGACACAATGAAATCTACTTTAAGTGTCTTGAGCGTCAGACCGAAAAATGAATCCCCACAAGAAAGGAGAGACAGGAAGAAAGCCCTTAGAGAATATAGAAAAGAAAGGAGGGTTGAGCGTAAGGCTAATACAGAAGCCTTTAAAGAAGAGAAAAAGCGCCAAGAAAAAATCATGTTGAATAACATGAGAAACGTGCAAGGGAATCGTATATTGTAAGACACCATACCCCTGTAACAATCTTTGATTACATTTTAAATATATTTATCAAAAGAACAGTTGTATTTATTGAAAGTGCATTTTCCTGAGCTTGACCACCTCTTCCCTCCACATTATCATGTCTAATCAAATCTCATAAAAGCATAAAACACATTTCACTCAATTTAAACATGCTCCAAGGACACAAGTCCCAAATTAATATTTATATACAGTATAGGATTCATATAACAATTATTATAGAAACGGCTGAGCATATCAAAGTAGTCTTAATTCTAAGTTTCTTCTGTCCCTTTTTGCCAATTAATTAGGAACCGAGGAAATTGAATTCCCTTTCTAAGTATCTGAACTTGTGAGAAAATTTGAGAGTACGTTTAAAAAAAAATCAGGAAAATTTGAGATTTTTTCCTATGAATGGGAAAGTTTCGTCTGCTTGTCCCACGTGTCGCATGTGATCACGTGCTCGGCGGGTGGGTCCCGCCCCACCCACAATGGGACCAAGAGGGCCGCATGAGGGAAAGAGAGGAAGCGAGTAGCGCTATAGCATGAGCGAGTGAGAAGGCAGAACCACGTGACTCCGCGCAGCGCCACTAGCGCCACCACCAAGGTGAGTCGAGATAGATAGAAGCTGGCTAGTCATATGATCGATTTGTAGGTTCCTGGCTTGGGTCGGCGCTCGGCCAGGTCTCTCGCAAAGATGGCCAGCCAAACGCAGGGAATCCAGCAGTTGCTCGCTGCAGAAAAGCGGGCTGCTGAGAAGGTCTCGGATGCCAGAAAGCGTGAGTTATTGAACCTTACATCGCCGCAAATCGGATCTAAAACTAACAACGGTTCGGTAGGCCGCTCTTCGTAGATTCCTAATTTCAGGATGGGTGTAACCGTTTTCGTGGCCCCGTGATTCTCCTTCCGCGGGAGATTTCTGACTTTATCGGAAACGCCCAAATTGAGAGGTCGATAAATCGTCCATGTGTCGGGTATTGGGTTGTTCGTGGTAATTACGCGTTACGGTTTTAGGTTATCGGGGGCCTTCTGGATTGGGCCTAACCTTCGAGTAACGATCACTCGGAAAAGCACTCAAGTGGGTTATAAATATTATCTCGGTTATTTGGGGAGCTGGTAGCAGCACCGCGCGCGAGCTCTTTAAATGTTTACGCGAAAGGAGAATTAGGGAGTATACATAACCTCGAAGTGGCTACTTTATTGAGTTCAGTTTTACTGGATATTTTAATGTAGTCTTTGGGGAGATTCCCCTGGGTGCATGAAATTTTGGAGACTGAATAATAAATTTCAAAGTGATTTTCATACTTTAATTCGGGATTTCTATTTCAGGTAAGGCCCGTAGGTTGAAGCAAGCCAAGGAGGAGGCGCAAGATGAGATCGAGAAGTACCGGCAGGAACGGGAGAAGCAGTTCCGTGAATTCGAAGCCAAGGTGATTCTCGTCTTTTAATTGTTAAGACTAGCTATGCTTTCTATGTTTTTATTGCTACCAAATTTACCCAGGGGGGATTTATTTTAATAAGGATTAAAATATCAATTTGCCATATTTGGATTTTAACAATGATACTGTTATGTAGCACATGGGTTCGAAAGAAGACGTAGCTGCCCGTATCGAGGCAGATACGCGTGTTAAGATCGAGGAAATGAACCGTACTGTGAGCGTTCACAAAGAGGGTGTAAGTAGATTAAACTTTTTAAATGCAAGAATCCCATACCTTGCAGTGATATTGATTAACAATCATGAATTCCATTGATCGTACGATTCCGTACATTTTGTTCGGTTTAAAAATCAAGAGTCTTGAAGTTCTGTCCATTTTGTTGTATTCCATGGGATTTTTACTATTCAGGTAATGCTTAAAATCCTGGACCTGGTGTATAACATCAAGCCGGAGCTGCACAAGAATTATCGCGAAGCCTAAGTACCAATATGAGGCCTCGCATATCCGAATATTATAAATACTACATTACATATACCATACATGTATATTATATATTAACCTTCTATATAGCATATCTTGGAAATATGTACTCGTCGTTGTTTTAAAGTATTTAAGTTGGGAGGGCAGAAAGTTGCTTAGCTTTAGGCGGTGATACTCAAACGATTAGAGGCATTCTATACGTTGTTGCACGCGGTGTGACTTCATTCGAGAGTCCCCACGACAATAAATGTAATCGTTTATGCATTAGCGACGAGCTTCGTGTCAACGAATTAAGTGGTTTGAGGATTACTGTAGTTGCTTCGTAAAGATGATATATATCTATTGAGCGCTTCGTTTTGCGGTGCCATAGGCCCAGGTACTGTCAAAATGGAGGTTAGGTACTAAGATACGGTTGGTAAATGTTTTTAGGGTGGTGGATATCTGATTGTGTATCGGTAGCTTTATCGTAGTAGGTGTCATTCCAAATTTCCGTAACATCGAGGACCTTGAATATTACTATGCCAAAGTGTACAGCCTCTCGGAGCCCCTGGATTAGCTCCCATTTATCATAGGGGCCTCGCGACGATGTACCTGTGTTATACATCTTATCGTTGTCACCTTGTAAACATTGCTACATTAAAGAAAGTCGGTAGCCCCCGTACCTCACTGCGCATCCCGTTTCTGTGAGCTGTTTGGCTGTCTGTACAGTATTAGTGTTCAAAATAAAAAAAAAACCATAAAAGCCTAACCAAAACTGACCCATTGTGCTTACATTTACCTTACCGATATCCCAATTCTAATCAATAATACAAATTATTCTATTCATTATTATTCATTTATACAACCTGGATTTATAGACATTTTAATACCTGTACAGAAATTATATTCAAAAATCGTTTTTACGTGCATTTTTTACCTGATTTCTGTCGAGCCAGTTATACATATATATCCAGGAAGTAGGCCTCAGCCTTGAGACTCCAAAGCACACTAAGGTCAAATTCGGTCTTATCAGGAAAATATTACGTCACGATAAACAATAAGAGCGATTACCTTGTCATGCGAAAAATTGCAATTATCAGAATGACATAATGAATTTTTACCTATTAAAGTGAGTCATAAACTCGTATTTACAGTTTAAGTAGATATACAAGTCGAGTGAAGAGTCCTAGCGAGGCAAATAAATGATACCGACAAGTACTACGCTGAAGGAATCCAGTCGAGAAAACAGACGACATTCAGGCATAACAGAATGTGAAAATTCGAGATGTGAGGAAATTCGTCGAGCAGTGAAACTGCCACGTAACTCGCGTAGCTGTAAAACGGAGCGCATAAATCCGGCCTCGCCTGGCTCGTAACCCTTTTCCTGGATGGATTTGCCTATTTTCAACCGCCATTACTTTGAATACGAGTTTGTAGCGATCGAGCGAAAATGCCTTTCGGGGTATCCGGCGATTCAAAATGGAGGCGGTCGCGCGCCGGTGGCGCCGCGCCTGCGCGCGGTGGCGTCGGCGCGAAGCTTGGCGCTCGCCGTCAGCTGAGCTCGGCTTCACTCGAGCCCTCAATCGGCGTCTCGCGCTCGCGGAGGACGGTCGCACGGTAGTCGCGCGAGCTCGTAAGTGTTCCTCGTATCCGTCGTCTCCTGGTGCACCGACCAACCGGTCCAGGAGAACTCCTCGCGGCGATTGGCGAGCGATGGAAGCCAATGAGAGGCGCCTCTCGGTCGCCGGTAGCTGGAGCACGTCGCCTCGGAACAGCGGCCCGGGTGAGGAGTCGGTGACAGCTGTGCCGGTGAGCTCGCGCTAACCTGTTATGAGAGGACGAGCCGCGCCAACCGAGGCAACCTTGGCAACCCTGGCAACCGGTAGCCCCTCGGTCGGGCAACCGGCTGGAGAGCCGACGCCGTCGGCGTCCACCCCGCGACCCTTCCGCTCGTCGTCGTGGGACGCGTAGGAGTGAAGTGACGTCACGCGTGCCGAGATATCCCCGAAGGTGAGAGGTAAAAGAGGGTCAGGATGTGGTGCCTCGTCAGCCAGGCCAACTCCGTCATCCTGGAAGTCCAGGTCGATCCCAAGGCCATTGGCCAGGAGTGCCTCGAAAAGGTTCGTCCTCGACGATCGTATAAATAATCACTTTTTCACTTTTCCACCTAAACTACCAACCTTGATAAGATATTAGGATGCAGGGTAATATAAACGATGCAAAGGTAGGAGTTTATGGTTATTTCGCTTCGGTGTATTAATATTTAATTAATGAACATTTTTCTTTTTCTTACACCTGTACAATTTGATTTCCAGGGACCGAGAGATGGAATTACGTCGGTACGGTCCGATTGTATATTATATACCGAAAGTGGGGAAATCGGTCCTGGAGGAGCAAGATTCAGGATACGATTTTTAGTCAAGGTGGAATAACCAGAAGTTCGTAATATTTGGAATAACCAGGAACGACTTGTCCCAAATTGTTAGAATAAATTTTATAAATATGACTCCTCCACGCCAGGCGTTGATATCGCCTTGGCCCTCTTACGTGGGTCTCTTTTTCGGGGGACCTCGAGATAGAGTTTCCTCCCTAGGCGAGCCCGTGGTTCTTTTTAGACATCTCTTCCGTCTACCGCCTTTAAGCCGCTTTAGGGACTAGCCTGCTTATAAATAACCCGGCCCAACTGCGTTCTATCTCTCTCTTTCACATCTTGGTACACATCGACGTGTCTTTGTCGTATACCTTGGCTGGTCTCAACGTATACGCGACTCCGAAAGTTCGACGTACCTTTACCGCAATTTGTTTATTTACGGTACCACGTGGCCCGAAACACCACGAGGTCGCGTTATTCCCGAGGATATTTTCAAACGAAGGAGGATAGGTCGATGAAAGAATATTCAGGACGTTAAATCCTGGACGGTTGAGATTTCGAATGAATTCCCGATAACGTTATCGCGCTATATTGGACGACTAAGCGAAAAATGACGATACTCGAATATACGTATAAAATGTTCTCAGAGTTTCAATAAATTATATATACGTTCCTTTCTTAACCCTCTATGAGCCCGTGTAACTTTCAGGTCACATTTTAAATGAAAAATATTTTTTTTTAGTGCATATATAGGTTCCTAATTGCTGATTTTTCGTTCCAACAATTTTTTTTTATTTAATGAAAAATTCGATAAGTCGATCCGCAGGTGTCGGTAAATCGATCCTTTATATGGGGCCTTTTAAGGGGCACAAATTTAATTATCGATACGACTTGCGATAACGTACCGTAAAGTTTGGTGGAGTTAACGTTGATCCGCAGGTGTCGGGAAATCGCTCGTTTATATGGGGCCTTTTAACGGGCACACGGGAACGCCGTAGAATTCGTACGTAAATTAGATCGCGAAAACGACGGCTGCACCGGGCCACGGATCGACTCCTCTGGTACACAAAGGCGAGGGAGAATTGAATTTCCAGATCGAGTCCCGGCCAATTTCGACCTAATTCCCCCGGCCTGAACGGACGCGCCGACCGAAAAAGACGCAAGACCCCCCGCGAGGCCGATCGATCGATGTCGAGTCGATCGGCCATCCGGAAGTCCGGAGGAAGCTAAAGAGATGGGAGAGACTCTCCTTCGCCCTTGTCTTCCGGGTTGCGGGGGGATGAGCGATTATTCCAGAATTCGAAATACCGCCGAAGATCGATCGATCTTATTTTTTTTCCCACTTTTTTATGCCTCTGTGACGGCCGAATTTATGGGAGATTTATTAAGATGATTTTTTTTTTTTTAATCGCAATTTTTTACAACACTCGTCGCGAGGGTCAGGAAGTGTACGAATCACTAGAAGAGAGAGAGAGAGAGAGAACTATCGTTGGCTTGAGGTAGGACAGGTATCGCGCTCGCTGAGCCTCGGTCGGTAATGCAGATCGCTGCGTCCCGAACCGTCCATTGACTCGATCCACGGAGGCGGGCCGAAAATATACACGAAAAGCGAGCACGCGGATTAATATTGGCCGCCGTCCAAGTGAACCCTGATCCGCGATTATTCACCGAGGGCCGGATGGCCTCGGATTTTGCGAAACCCACGATCGGCTATTTCTGAGGTTAGGAACCCTTGAGGCGGGTCCGAGGGGGAGGCGGAAATGAATCCTTAAATCCCTCCCGAATCGAAATTCTCTCCCGGCCAGGAAATTACCCCAAAAGCGAACCTTATTTCCCGCCTACTTTTCCGGCTTTCATTTGTTTTCTTTTTTCTTTTTTTTTTCCTTTGATATGTTAATTCGCTCCGTGGAACCTACCGAAATAAGCAATGTCACGACCACCGGCACTCGGTCGCGTTATTTTTAATTCGTAAACCTCGGTTAAGATAAAACACGACCTTGGCTGTCCACCAAGCGAACTTTCATCCGAAATAGCGTGCCAGAAATGAACAATGGCGCTGGGAAAGGCGAGATAATTATTGTTTATGGTTTCGGTTAAGTAATCGCGCACGTATGTATCGAGTCCTCCTCTAATCTTGAGATATCCTGCCGCGAGGCGACTCTTTTCTTTATTTTTTGTCCGTTTATTTTTCATCGTCCCTAGGTGAAAATATTCCTAGATCATGAAACGGGATCTGGAAGGTGACTCTTATTTTTATTTCCCTTTTTTTTACTTCTAGGGAATATTCTTTGGTCGTCGGACATGCCCTGGCGCCCGGTTAGTCTTTTATGCATTTTATTTTATTTTTATCTCGTCGCCGTTATTGCAAAATCTGGAATATTCTGTATGAAGTTTTGACGAGTCTATTGGGAACTCCCGGAATTTTCTCGGGTCTGGACCAATCCACGGATCCCACTTTTCGGTTCATCCCACATTTCACTGACGAAGTCGCTCGTCGAGGCTTTCCGGGACCGAGACACGTGACCCGACTCGAAAAAGTCCCTAGCTAGGAACTTTTCCTCTATCCCCCGGGCCGAAATGCGCGAAAGTATCACCTTAGCTCCCGAACCGTTCTCGAGCGTGTAGTACTTCGAAACAATTGCGAGGTGCATCCTTTCTTTTCGGCGGTCCCCGTTTCCCCTTTATTACCGAAGTACGCGACAAAGAGCGGCCGTCGCCGTTTGCATAAACGGCGCGTTAAATGAATTCGAGTTAAACGAGTGCCACCGTTTACGGCTGGAGTTCCTCCAAATTTTTCAACTCCCTTAACGCGGAGAATTCTTTGGGGGGAAAATATTTCATGAACGTTCGGGATGAATTTTAAGAAATTGAAGATTTCATCGGTTGTGGAAAAATTTTTCGCGAACGATTGATCTCGCGGATGCAAATTTGATATCACCTTAAGGGGGAAGAATTTTAAGAAATTTAACATTTCATCGGTAGTGGAAAAATTTTTCGCGAACGATCGACCATCGACCTCGCGGATGCAAATTTGATGTCACCTTAAGGGGGAAGAATTTTAAGAAATTTAACATTTCATCGGTACTGGAAAAATTTTTCGCGAACGATCGACCTCGCGGATGCAAATTTGATATCACCTTAAGGGGGATAAGAAATTTAACATTTCATCGGTACTGGAAAAATTTTTCGCGAACGATTGACCTCGCGGATGCAAATTTGATATCACCTTAAGGGGGATGAATTTTAAGAAATTTAACATTTCATCGGTACTGGAAAAATTTTTCGCGAACGATTGACCTCGTGGATGCAAATTTTATGTCACCTTATGGGGGAAGAATTTTAAGAAATTTAACATTTCATCGGTAGTGGAAAAATTTTTCGCGAACGATCGACCTCGCGGATGCAAATTTGATATCACCTTAAGGGGGAAGAATTTTAAGAAATTTAACATTTCATCGGTACTGAAAAAATTTTTCGCGAACGATCGACCTCGCGGATGCAAATTTGATATCACCTTAAGGGGGAAGATTTTTAAGAAATTTAACATTTCATCGGTACTGGAGAAATTTTTCGCGAACGATCGACCTCATGGATGCAAATTTGATGTCACCTTAAGGGGGTCCTCCAGAAAATCCGCCCCGTTCTCTTTAGGTTCTAAGCGAGTCGTTCGGTTCTTAACGTTTACCCGCTCGTTCGGGCTCCTTAAAACAATCCGACTTCCCTCTGGGGGGTATTTACCCCGACGAGGGCCTTCCCCCCGGACCCGCGGGGAGTCCGGGAATTTTCAACCCCCCGACGGGATCCTCCCCCGATCGGTACTTTGCGCCTTCACCGGGGACTTTTCCGCCGAAGTGGCTACGTACGGACTTTTCCTTCCTCCCGTTTTTACTCTTTCTTCTTTTTCCCCCCTCCTTCTCTCTCTCTGTCCCCTTCGTTGCTCCTTTTTTACCTTTTGTCCCCCGAGTCTCGGCTCTCTCCCGGTTTACATCCTCGGGAAACGGTCCTCGTAGTTTCGGGGGCGGGACGTGACCGGGCTCGGAAGGAGTCCCTGTCCTCTTCCTGGACCCGGCTGTCGTCGCCCAGGTGGAATGACACCTGGACACCTCTAGGCTGACTAATGGTCCGCCCTCGACGCTTGCCGGGGACGAGACCCGGACACACGCTCCTCCGAATTTTCCTGGTTTTCCACCTACCTCGTCTTCGCAGAAGGTGAAGGAAAAAATGGAGCAAACCTTCCCGAGGGCAGCGATCGCTTGAATTAAAAAAAAAAAATCTAGAGATTCGAGATAAAGCGATAATTTGGAATATATCCTCCCCGTCCTCTCGGGAATTTTATCAGATTTTATGTCTCGCAGGGAAAAAAATTCCCACGCTTTCCTCCACCAAGGGAAAATTCATCCAACCTAGGAGATACCTTGTTAACTTAATTGACAACGATTTGACCGGAACGAATTTCATGATTAATCCCGGAGAAACGTTTAATCGAGCCTATTGGAGTTGATCTGTAATTATCGGGATTATTTGTCTCCGGTTAGATGGTGCATCATATTTGCTCCTCCGCGGCGTAGCTGGGAATTTCTTTTCCAGGCCTATGTCGGATCCTCTCGTGTTTGGTTTCCCAAATTCGTGTGGGACGAGCGGAGTCGCCTTATCAGAACTCGCGGGCCCGATTGCGCCGGAAATGGGGACACCCAAGTGCACTTCGTTGCACTTTGATCAACGGGAAGCGCCGTTGCTAAGTCAGTCGCC